TGAGAAAGTGGGCAGTTTCACAGATGAGTTCACTGAAAGCCACTATTTCTATTGATCTAACTCAGACTAGTTCAGCTAGTCTATTGATTGTTGCTGATAAGGAGTAGAGGTGGAGAGAAGCCAGCTTCAGACCCACCTTTACTCATATATATATATATATATATATATATATATATATATAATTGAATGTATATGAATATTGAATCTCATAAAGATTCCTAGAGCTTTCTTTACCAGGTTTCTTTTTACTAGATTCTAAATACTGTCAAGTTGAAAATCAGTATTTATCATCACACCCAGCATATGTAAGGTCCTGGGTTCCATTCCTACTATCATAAAAGCAACTAAATAAATCAAAGTTTTCTTGGAAAAACTTGATGTATCACTTGCAAAAGAATGAAGCTGGATTTTTTAATGATATGTTTCTGCATGTATACATGTAACAATAATTAAAGAAAAAGAGGCCATGAATGAGGGAGTGTGGGGACATGGGAAGGGGTGGGAGGGATGGGAGGGGGGAAGAGTGAGGAAATGATGTAATTATATTTTAAATTAAATATTATTTTGTGTTTCAAAAGTGATATATTACAGAGAATGGAGAGATGGCTTAGTGGTTAAGAGCGCTGGCTGCTCTTCCAGAGGTCCTGAGTTCAATTCCCAGCAGCCACATGGTAGCTCACAACCATCTGTAATGGGATCTTCTGGTGTATCTGAAGATAGTGAGAGTGTACTCATATAAATAAAACAAATAAATCTTTTTTAAAAAAGTACACTTAAAATCATATCTTTAAAGTTGCAAAACTAAAAATAATCTGGATGGAAAAAAACAGGAAAAATGAAATTTTAAATGTATCGAAAGTATAAATGTGACGCCAAAACTGTCAAACTTATAGAAGAAAACATATGGAGTTTAGTAAGGACCTCCTAGATACGACACCCCACATGCTGGCGGCTTGACTTAGACTAAATTAAAAGTAGATACATTGTTCAGCAGTCAGCTGGATTTCTCTGCATGGAAGGACATAATCAACAGGGCGGGAAGATATATGGAATAGGAAGAAATATTTATATAACATATATCTGATAGAGATTTAATATCCAGACTGTATAGACACACTTATACCTAAAAAAGGGCCAAAACAGAATAAAACAATCTGCTTACAACATGGGCCACAAGAGGCTGGAGAGGCGGTGTGGGGGGCAAGAGCAACAGGCTTTTTTTCCTGGGGGGGTCTGGGGTTAGTTCCCAGCATCCACATGATGGTTCATAAGCATCTGTAACTGCAGTTCCAGTGAAACTGACCTCTTTTATGACCTCTGTGGGTACCAGGCATGCAGGTGGTGCATGTGACATACATGCAGGCAAACACCAGTACACATAAATTAAAATCAATAAATCTAAAGAAAGTGGGTAATGACTGATATACATTTTCTCTAAAGAAGATATACAAAAGACCAATCAGCACAAAGGAAAATGTAACATTGTAATTGTGACCAAAAGAAAAAGACCAATCAGCACAAAGGAAAATGTAACATTGTAATTGTGACCAAAAGAAAAAAATCGAATCCACCAGGAAACGGCACACCTTACTCACTATGCAGGCTAGTACTAAAAATAACCCAGAAAATACTGGGGGTGATGTGGAGAAATTGCAACCCATACACACTGCCCATGAAAATGTAAAATGGTAGACATTACAGAAACAGTATTATCAGAAACAAACAACAAACAAAACCACAAAGAACAGGAGCTGGAGAGATGGCCGAGCAGTTAGAGCACTGGCTACTTCTCCAGAGGATCCTGGATGGATTTCAGCACCTGCCTGTAACTTTAGTTCCACAGTATTAAACGCCCTCTCTGGCCTCTGAAGCATTGCATGCATTTGGTACACACATATACATGCAGATAAAATACCCATACACATAAAATTTTAAAAGTGGAAAAAAAGTACCCTAAAATAGAATTACTATATGCTCCATCAATTCCACTTCTGAGTGTCCACAAGAATCAAAAGCAGGGACTCTGACAGACATGTTGTACACCTGTATCCAAGGCAGCATCTCCTAAGGCAGAAGCGAGTCAAGAGATGGAGGGATAAAGAAATGTGGTGTGCACATAAAATATTATTCAGACCTTAAGATGAATAAATTCTGCTCAATGTTTTATTATAGTGTACCCTGGGGATCAGGTGGAATGAGGGAGTCACAAAATGACAAGGTGTAAATTCACTGATGTGAGTTCTCCAGAGTAGTCAAACTCACAGAAGAAAGACTAGGAAGGTAGTTGTTGGAGCTTGGAGGGGAATGGCTGGCTTGTTTCAGGTCTACTTGACACAAGCTGGCGTCTTTGGGGAGGAGGGAAGCCCAACTGAGAAAATGTCTTCATCGGGTTGGTTTGTACACAAGGCAGATGCTTATTTTCTTGATTGATAATGGGGGAACCTAGCTCACTGTGGCTGGTGCCTCCCCCGGGCAGGTAGACCTGAGTTATATAAGAAAGCAGGCTGAGCAAGCTGAGAGGAACAAGCCAGTAAACAGTGCTCCTTCGTGGCCTCTGCTTCAGTTCTTGTCCTGCTAGAGTTGGAGCCAAAACTTACATACATGTAAAATAAATAAATAGGCAGATAGACAGATAGATAAAATAATTTTTGGTTTGGTTTTGTTTCTTGGTATTTCAGGAAAGACTTCTGTTTCAAGACAGGGTTTCTCTGTGTAGCCCTGGCTGTCCTGAACTCATTTTGTAGACCAGGCTGGCCTTGAACTCATGCCTCTGGCTCCTAAGTTAAGTGCCTGGAACTACAATGCCCAGCAATGAACATTTTTTTAAAAACTAAAACTATGATGAATAAATAGAAGTCTCCATGACTTTAGGAGATTGTTTCTTAGGTGTGATACTGTCTTAACTAGGTCTCTGTTGTTCTGATAAAGACTGTGACCAAAAGCAGTTTAGAGGAAAGGATCACCTGGAGGCAGGAACTGATGCAGAGGACACGGAAGAATGCTGCTTACTGGCTTGTTTCTCATGGCTTGCTCGGGATGCAAATTATGTAAAAGCTGTCAAGAAAATGAAGCTGGCTGTGGGTTCCTACCTGTAATCCCAGCCCTCAGGAGGCAGAGGTAGGAGATCAAAAATTCAGTGCCATCTTTGAGCACTACAAAGCAAGATCTAGATCATTCCAGGGTACCTGAGAGCCAGTCTCAAAAACAAAACAAACGAGAAGATACAACAAAGTTCAGAGATGAAAGAACTCCAAATCCCACCAATTATTACCCTTAGGGGAAGAGTAAATCCATAGATGGCACACACACACACACGAGTGCACACACAATAACACTTGCACACACACTAAAATAAAATAATGATTTTATTACAGTAGGGTTACATGTAGATGCTGCCTTTTATTTTCTAGACAGGATCTCATTATGTAGCCAAGGCTAGCCTTGAACTTGTGACCTACCCAGGTCAGCCTACTGATGACCTGCATTTCAGACATGCCTTCCAGCACTCAACCTAGATATCATTTTAAATGAAAAGTATGTCATTTTTATTTTCCTCTGACATATTTCTTAATGAAAATGAAGAACACCAAAGTACATTTTCAAAAATTTCAATGACTTTTCCACAGCAAAATACATGATTACCATAAATAGAAAAGTCTGATAAGTTAAGAGTTGTCCATAAAGAAGGGAGGGGACAGTGGGAGTTAACACTGAGAGCTAATGAAAAAAACGGTTAGTACAGTTTGATTTTAGAAACCATCCATTGTTTTTCTGCTTGGAAAATGGAAGAAATTACTAGCCCCTCGCCCTCCCTTCTTTCCCTCCCTCCCTTCTTCCTTTCTCTCTTTCCTTCCTCCCTCTCTCCCTCTCTCTCTCTCTCTCTCTCTCTCTCCAGGGTCTCATGTAACCTGAGCTGCCCTTGAACTCACTATCTGAGGATAACCTCGAGATCCTCTCCGTGGAGTGTTGGGGCTACAAGTGTTGGGGCTACAAGTGTGCCCCCCGTCACACCCAATTTTATGATGATGGGGCCCAAGCTCAGGGCCTCCTGCCTGCAAGGCAAGCACTCTAAGAACTGAACTATATTCCCAGCCTGACTCCCTGGGTCTCAGTCTCATCCTGAGTAGATTTCGTTCCATTAGACTTTGACACTTTCCGCTCCAGAGAGTGTCTGCTCACCGTCGGCTTCTGCGGTTCTGAATTATGTGTGATGGGATCTTGAGTGAGGGTTTCTAGGTCGCACTACCAGTGGTTCATTCTTCCCTAAGAAAAAAGTTATTGAGAAATGTTCTGAAACGTTATAAATTAACTGCAATAACCAGAGAGAACAGACATGAGATTATCAGTTAACAGAGGGCTGTGTTAGCTTCCTGGAGCTGACAAGATATTTGAAAAAGTCAAATCATGAGAAGGGGAGATCTCCATAGCTTCGGGTGTTTCTGTCCTTGAAGGAGCCTATTTACCCACCATGACAAGGATGCATGGAGAAACAGGGAGAGACTGGAGGCCCTATCTCCCCTCCAAAGCAAGTCTCCGATTACTTAACTTCCTTCCACTATGCCCTGCCTTCAAAAAGTTCTATCATCTTCTAGTAGCACCAGGCTAGGGACCAAACCTTCAACACCTGGGACTCTGGGGAACTTGTGAAATTCAAACTATAGTGTGAGCCAAACAAAAGAACACCCAGCCTTCCTGAACATGGGCTGACACCAGATGCAACTCCCGAGTGTGGGCGAACTTTTCCGACTATTAACCCTAACCAACCCAGACAGGGTTATGTCTGACCTGTGTTCCTGTCTGGAACATTTCCCACTCTGCTATGGGTAACGACATGGGTTCCTGTGAGTTGTTTACCTTCCTCAACATTTTGTTTAAAAATGCTTGGGCCTGACGGACTTTTTCCCTACTTTTTTTTCTTTTTTTAAATTGTCGTTTCTGTAGTTTTGAGACAGGCTGGCCTCAAATCTTCTGCCTCAGCTGCGTGAGTGCTGGGATAGAGGTGGCATTACACACCACCTTTATTTTCCACTCTTATTGGTGGTGTGGAAGTCATCCAGAGACAGAAGGACCTAGCCCTGCACGATAAAAAGAAATTCCTTCTACCTTCCTTCCTTCCCTCCTCCTCCTCCTCTTCTTCCTCCTCCTCTTCCTTCTTCTTTTTTTCTTTTTTTTTTTAAAGATTTATTTATTTATTTTATTATGAGTACACTGTCGCTGTCTTCGGACACACCAGAATAGGGCATCCAATCTCATTACGGATGGTTGTGAGCCACCATGTGGTTGCTGGGATTTGAACTCAGGACCTCTGGAAGAGCAGTCAGTGCTCTTAACCACTGAACCATCTCTCCAGCCCCCCTTCTTTTTTTTTCTCCTTCTCTCTCCTTCTTCTCCTCCTCCTCTTCCTTCTTCTTTCTCCTGCTCTCATCTTTCATTCCTCCTTCCTTCTTTCCTTCCTCCCTCCTCTCCTTTTATTTTTCCTTCCTTCTCCTTGACATCATGATAGCCCCAGATACCCCGTGGTCTCTTTAGATGACCCTGCCCTGTCATCTTCAAGTCAGTTTGGGTTCAGGAGCAATGCTCCCCATTCCCCACAACACAAGCTCAGCAGCTGTCGCATAGTGGTGTGATCCACAGGAAGTCTGTAGTGACAAGGGTACTTTGTGCACAAGTCACCTTTTGTTTATCCAGGTGACCCTCCAGTCCTCTTTAGTGGAGTGGTTCTCAACCTGTGGGTTGAGACCCCTTTGGGAAGGTAAATGGCCCTTTCACAGAGGCCCAAGAAGATCAGAAAACACACATATTTACACGATTCATAACAGTAACAACATTACAGTTATGAAGTAGCGACAAAAACAAATTTTATGGTTGAGGGCACCAGAACCTAAGAAACTGTATTCAAGGGCCGTAGCATTAGGAAGGTGGAGAACCACTGCCAGGGTGGATCAGACTTGTTCTGGATGGTTTTGTTTGCTTATCCGTGGTTTTTATTTGGATTGGTTCAAGAGTGGCAGCAACGGACAGCTGTCTCAAGCTGCTCGCTGTAGCTGCTGGAGGCCAGAAAGGATAGTTAGCTTGCACTAACTGTGAGGGCTGCACTTGCCCTGTTGGTGAATGCCTCTTCCAGTGGATTGAAGGGACCTGTACCTCACTGATAACAGTTCCAGGACCACATTCTTTGCTGGTTAGCATCTGTAATGACTTAATAAGTACTTCTGTTTTGGAAAACCCTCCCTCAAGACCTGTGGGTTAAGATTCCTGGTTTTAAACTTCCTGAGCTTTTCCATGTTCAAGAACATCTTTCTATTGACTTTATACATGAGTGGGATCTTGCCAAACTATAATATGGATCACAATTTAAAGTTTCAGTTTGAAAATGGCCTGGTGTCAGATAGCCTCCTGTTGTTTTGTTTGGTTTTTTTGTTAAAAAAGATTTCTTTCCTGAATGTTTAAAGAATTATTTTCCTTTTTCTTTGCATTCAAGAACTTGTTTGGGGCTGGCAAGATGGCTCAGTGGTTAAGAGCACTGACTGCTTTACCGGAGGTCCTGAGTTCAAATCCCAGCAACCACATGGAGGCTCACAACCATCTGTGATGAGATCTGATGCCCATCTCTAAGATAGCTACTAACAAATAAACCTTTGGGCTCAGAGTGAGCAGGCAGCTACAGTGTACTTACATGTAATAAACAAACCTTTGGGGTCAGAGCGAGCAGGCTGGAAAGAACAGAAAAAAAAAAAAGAACTTGTTTGAAAGATTTGTTTTGGAGGGATTTTTTTTTAACTGCATCTGGTACTCCATGTTGTCTGTAATTCTACAGATTTAGGGCTTGTGTTTCAGACTTAGATGTGTATTTGTAAGATATTTTTGTTAGGACTGGAGAGATGGCTCAGCGGTTACGAGCACTAACTGCTCTTCCAGAGGTTCTGAGTTCAGTTCCCAGCACCCACATGGTGGCTCACAACCATCTGTAATGGGATCTGATGCCTTCTGATGTGTCTGAAGACAGCTACAGTGTACTCATATACATTAAATAAATAATATTTTTTTAAAAAAAGATATTTTTGTTAGATGGGGATTGATGGAGGCAAAGCGGGAATGAAATAAAGGCAGGCATCTCTAGACTCAGAATTGTTCCTTAATCAGAATGACAGAAGCTGTTGTCTCTCCCTGAAGTGAGACTGTGTGTGTGTGTGTATGTGTGTGTGTGGGGGGGGGGGTGGGGAGGGTGAGGGGGGGGGGGGGTTAGGGGGTGGGGGTGGGGGAGAGTGGCATTGTGGGGGGAGGGGAATGGGAATGGGATTTTTATAGGATGGAAAAGGGGGAACTTTGGGGATGGAAGACTCAGACTGCAAGCCAGTTCCCCTGCAGTCTGGAAACACCAGCAGGGTTGGTGTGTGGGTCTCCTCATCAGAAGCTTACACCTGATCTTATCGGTCAGGTCACCTTTCCTATTCAGAACATCTCAGTCACCTGAGGCTTTTAGGTCATTAACCCTCCATTCCAGAGACTAGAGACAGATAAAAAAAGAAGGGGCAAGGTGTTCTTTAATTGCCTATATCCTGTGGAAGAGGGATGATGGAGAGGAGGTCGGGTTCTGTCCCCGGGATCGAAGGGGACATCGGATGCTTTGGAGGAGTGTTTTAACCCAGCTGTGGCCCATCCTGAAGTCATCGTCCTGAGCGCCTAGACTCTAGGACCTAGAGAAACTTTTAAAAATAAGTGTTAGAGAGCCAAAAACAAATGATTTGGTCACAGAGTGAGCCTGAGAGATTGCCCAGGACTCGGTTGTTCTATAAAGATGGAACCTGAGAGGGAAGTGGATCCATAATGACGGGTTCCACCAAAGTAAGTTACCAGGGGCAACACACGGGACCTACAGCACACTGCAGGAAGGGGACCGGAGTAAAGGACTGTATCTGGTCTGGGGTGGAAAGAAGAAGGCCCCTTGCAGCTAAAGCTTCTCTAGACATCTTCTTGTAGGTGTACCAGGAACGGATGGAGCTTTTGTACGGTGAGAGGCACTAGGAGAGCTTCCAGTGGAATACTTAAGAGAGGTGAGTCCAATGTGGAAACCATCTGACAGACATTAAAAAATGTAAGCATGAGGATCAATAAAGGGCCTCGGACAAGTCACACTCTGAGGGTTAAGAAAGGTCACGTGTGTAAAGCTCTCATGGGTTCAAGCTGTGTACAAGCACAGGAAAACATGGCTGGCTTCCTGAATCTCACGTCATCCGTGTGCAGAGAGGCCTTGCTAATCATCTCTCTATTGTTCCAGTTTTAGTATATGTACTGCCAAAATGATCACTATCAATATTTTTTTTAATTTCACTTTTATCGTGAACAAAATGAAGTTGGGCCACGTTGACAGCCTTAATTTAAAATGAACTTTGATTTATGAGACAGGAAAACTTTTAGGTTCTCTTTAGAAGCCAACAACTGTACCTTGTAAAAATTGTGTCAAGATTAAAACATTAAAAATTACCAAAAAAAAAAATTCCCCACATTGGAGGTCTGATAGGTTTTCCTTAGTCTAATATAAAAGGGGTGTAGTGATCTCCAGGGGACTCAGTGGAACCCTGACGTTTTATGGGTGCTTGTATTTTCCTTGTGCCATGCGATGCCATCAGATGGTAGTGAAAATCCATTAGCAAAAAAAATTATTAGCAAAAATAACAAATTATCATTAGCAAAGAAGGCTGCCAAATCCTTCCATCCTGATGAGGTCCTCCAGTTTTCGCCTAAAGATGAAGTCAGCCCAGTGATAGTGAGCCCATCCCCTCTGGGGTATTGCTAGACTCAGTGGAATCCTTCATTTTGAATATCCAATGTGGATTGTTACACCCTTTTCTGTAAAAGGACGCTTTTCTTAGGTAGGTTAGTGTGGCTATAGGAGGAGATGGTACCCATGACCTAGGTAGCTAGGCTTAAAATAGGAAAAAAAGAGCCAGGGGAAGGGATTTTATGGTCTCAGCTTAAGGAAGTGGAGCATCTTAAAAGAAGCTAATACAGTAACTGGAATCACTTGGTTTCTTTCAGAGTTGCATAAGAACAGCTTGCAAAGAATGTCACAGACCCCGTTCCAGGATTGGGCAGGAAGTGGATTGTCTCGCTCTCCTTTCCTTGGTCACATAGGGCTAGCCTGAGTCAGGCCAGGTGGAAATAAAAATGGACATCTCCAGAAGCAGGATTGTTCTTTTAATCAGAACAGCGGGAACTGCAGTCTCTCCCTGCAAGTGAGATTGTGAGTATGTGGTGTGGGGTCTTGGGATATTTTTTTTTAGGATAGGTAAAGGGGATTTTGGAGATGGAAGAGTTAATCTGTAGGTCAGTTCTCTTTAGTCCCTAAGTGGCAGACACCTACTAGGATGGCCCACTAAGCCCTGCTTAGAGTATCCGATTGCTTTCCTAGTCCAAAGACTGAATGAAATTCTTCCACATTCCTCCATAAAAACAGCATGGCCATGTCTGTCACAGCAATACACAATTTGTGGTACCAACCTTTATCCTGGTTACTTTCCTATTGCCATGACAAGACACCGCGACCAAGGCAACTTATAAAATCAAACATTTAACTTGGGGCTTAACCATGGTTGCAGATCATTAGAGTCCATGACTGTCATGGTAGGGAGAAAGCTGCAGGCAGTCAGGCAGCAGGCAGCAGGCAGCAGGCAGCAGGCAGCAGGCAGCAGGC